GCCAAAAACACCATCCGTTCAAATTCATATACATTATATATATATGTCCGTCAGCACGATAACTCGAGCAAAAATGATCCGATTTCGATGAAATTTGGTACAAACGTGTAAACCTACGTTTATTCGAACGAGTTCGCGAACCAGCATGATCGGACCATGGGAACGGGGTTTTATGGGGGGATTTATGGGGTAAAAATTGGTTTTTCTCATTTTTGACCCTCAAAACATAAAATTTCCCAAATTTCTTCTAGACCATTTTGAAGAGCTTAAAAAAACAAATAATTCAGTATATTGAAGTGTTTTTGTATGGTTATTGGTTACGGAGAAAATTATAAATTTAAAATTCCCATGTTATTCTTATGGAGAATAAGTAAACTTTTGTAGTTTGCTTGTTTATGCATACATTTGGATCAAACTTGGCCAATCTATTTATTTTATACTAAGCTATTAATATTTTACTAAAAACCACACTTTATTACCCTGTAGGCAGCAAACCTAGGTACTCGTTAAACCTAATGTTATTTGAATAGATTTAATTGAAAATCAAATCAGGCAAATGGAAATTAGTTATTTAGACTAGCGTCTAGACTGCCAGTGCAAGTCCGAGGATCGGACTGATCGGACAATCGTGGATCAGATCAGTAGATCACCCCCCACCACCATGTCGTACGCTTCGGAATCATACCGGCGCATCAGCATACTGTTCGCGGAAAATTGTTATCTGTATCACTGTCGCTGTCAAAACGTATAATTTGTAGATTAAATTTGAATTAAATATAATTAAACTATCATAACCTAACCAAACTAACCAAACTTGCTGATAATGATAAACTCGAATGAAGGTTTACTAATCGAAAAATAGCTCTGTTCTAAAAATAAAATTATAAATGTCTCAAATTTAATTTTACAATCTTTTAATTATAAAATTAAACTGTCATAACCTAACCAAACCAACCAAACTTGCTGATATGAAAAAAAATTGTTGACAAAAAGTTAGTGCTCCCGGTGGGTTTCGAACTCGGCACCTTCAGATTATCAGCCCGACACGCTATCCACTACACCACAAAGGCTCATGACTCAGTTCCGTATCGTTGCAGTAATGGTTGACGTCACGCCATCGGCACTGAGCGGTGGTGGGGGGTTTTTCGATCTGATCCACGATCCTACCGATCCTAGGAGTTGCACTGGCAGTCTAGATGCTTATGTTATTTAGGTCTTAAGTTCTTTAACAAGTTACCAAAAGCCTGGCTGAATTTATCAGAAAGAAAATTTGCAAAAGTATTGTATTCCTGGCTAGTAAGTGTAAAAACATACAGACAGCGTAGCGCACGCAGCGCATGTTTTAAATCAAAACCGTGCATTGAAATGAGGTATCACATACAAGTAGCGTATTTCGGCGTAGCGTAGCGCAGCGCAGCGCAGCGTACGACTGAGGAACAAACTATTTTGTTTTTCTCAGAGCGTATCGGAGCGCATTCGACTGCAGACACGCTTAAGAGTCAATTCTAGTCTCTTTTCTGCACCAATTGGTCCCCTTCAATTAGTTGTCAGCTTCTCTCAATCATCCTTCACCAAACTAAATATGTAATCGAACGTTGTAGTCGACATTCTTGCATAATTCTTAAACCGAGACTCGTGTTTTTTAAGGATTGGAAATAAGATGTATTCACCATGCCTGTTCCTGCCTTTACACACTTCATGGGGTCGCCGGAATTTTATCCCCCTGGAATTTTACCCCCTGGGCAAAGCTGACGTCACTATGACGTAGTAACCTGAGGGGCCAAAAGTTTGTTCGCGGCCGGAATTTTACCCCCGCGGATTTCGAAGTCTAATGAAAATAGTCAGAGCGTGATTAATTCAATTAGCGATAAAAACCGGAATTTTACCCCCTGTCCATATAACTAGTGTTTAGACAACTGAAATGTACGGGCCGGATTTTTACCCTCCGGAATTTTACCCCCCGGAATTTTACCCCCGGATTTTTACCCCCCGGAATTTTACCCCCTGGCCGATTTTATAAATTGAATGATTGGTTTTCTTATTTCTGTTTTTAATTAATTGTAAACATTTCATTATTTAGTGGCCTGTCTTTATTTATTTATTTTGTAATCTCATTCAGTGGATTGTATATACATCATATTAACCAAAATTTGGCTTCAAAGATCGAATCCTAATACTTGAATCTCAAAATTAAAATTAAAAACATGTTCAATTAGTTAATGTCACAAATAAATTAAGATAGGCTACTTAATAATAAAATGTTTACTATTAAATTAAAACAGAATGAAGATAATTAATCATTCTCACTAATTTTTATATCTAGCCAGGGGGTAAAATTCCAGGGATAAAATTCCGGGGGGTAAAATTCCGGGGGTAAAGTTCCGGGGGGTAAAAAGACGGGCCGTACACTCTAGGTTTTTATAATTTGATGTGTTCTGATTAAATTCACAACCGTGAAAATATATGTTTAATTCCGCGTTTAATCCATCGAGCTGATGTCGCGAAACTCAAAAGTTCGCGGCCGGAATTTTACCCCCTGGTTTGTGACGTCACGTTTGCCCAGGGGCTAAAATTCCAGGGGGATAAAAATCCGCTACCCCACTTCATGCACCCCGACACTTCTCCTACTGATCAAAAACTGCCACCTTAAGGTATTTTTGACAAAACTGATACGAGCCGTCTTCGACAGAGCCATCTTCTATACTGATGTACCGGGTACACTATTAAGACCGTCTACAACCTATGTTGCGCTACGCTACGCTGCGCTGCGCTACGTTGCGCTACGCTACGCTGTCTGTATGTTTCTACACTAAAAAATCCTTTTTATGACATAGATGAATTTATGAAATGTGAGTTTTTGTTGCATAGTTAAGATAACCTTATTGTAGACAGATTAGATATTGTATTTTTGTGACATTTATTTATGTATTACAGTAGATGTGTCTTTTGACATAACAAAATTTGTTGCCTTGTTATTGCTTGTTAAGTTTGACGATGTCTATTACATTATGTGTATATAGTGTTGAAGGAATAAAGAATTTGTCTATTTGTTTATTGTCTATTGTCTATTGACTCAACTCATAGATTACGTACCTAACAGTTCCATATAATCAACATTTCTTGTAAATACATATTTGATTATTTTTCAAAAGCTGATTTGGTTTTTTTGTGTATTCTACAAATGTGTCCCACTTATAGCCGCATTAGGTTGTCCATGTTGATCTTCGTCAATGATAATGTAGTCTGCTGTACTACCCGTTGTCGCGAGTACAAATTTCAGTCATTTTTTTATAGCGATAACATTTTATTTACATTACTTAAGAACTGCCTGATTTTCTGCATAACGTCTCTATCACAATTGTATTTGCTTTAGTTGGCATTAATTTGGCTAGTTACTGTTATATTTACCTGAATAAATCCAGAATTGAAAAGCCTAATGTTGTTCAGATGGTTTTTTGTTTCCCTGAAATGTGAATAATGCAAATCCTTCAATGAAAGTTTTATTAAGGTTTCTTGGATGTAGTCATATTATTTTAAAAGCACATGACTTTTATGAAAACATATATTTAATGTCCTTGCTGTACCAGTTTAATTCAGCCTTAGAGTGTTTTCCTTTGCCAATCATCATAAAGTTAAGTCCGTGTTTCCTACAAAATAGTTAAGTAACACTTCGGCTTGTTCATTGTTTGTGAACATCTTCATATTGTAGGTGTTCTTCATTATATAGGAGGTAAAATGTATCAAACTGCCCAGGCTTCCTCGATTTTTTACATTGTAAATTGAAGTAGTAAATATTCAATTTCAACAAAATCCAATGCGTTTTGTTGAATTGAAATAGTAGTTTACGCAACGATTGCGTAAAGATAGTGTTAACGACACGAGTAGAAAATTTAAGTGCCTTAAAAACTTCTACGAGTGTTATTAACACTATTTACGCGAGTTGCGTACACTACTTTACCTATGACAGTGTTTTAATTACTGAAAATCACTATTCACAACTTCTAAGAGAGGTTATGTTTTCGTTTATAACCTCTCATTGCCTCTGACAGTGATGGAATGAAACATTGCATCAAACACTAATATTGCACCACTCGACAATTAAATTGGCCTGAACAGCTGATTAGTTTAATTTCGAATCATTACAATTTTACTTCTCCTCTCTCAATCCTTAAACCTCATTGGTCCGTTACTTGTGTCGTTATGAGTAAAACTATGCTGTTATGAAAGTAAACAATGCTGTTATGAGATACTTTTCAATTCTAAGAACTGTACTGAAACGGCTACTTTAAAAAACGATCCGTAGGTAAAATAAATAACAGCAATTAAACTATACAGCTGATCAAAATGTAAGCAATTATGTTCTTCATAAAGATGACATGGGAACTTTCATAGCCACTGGGGCAGAGTCAAGGGACTTTTTCAAAAATGTAAGGCCAGTTTGCAAATCTACGTGACACGCTCTTTCCAATGAGATGTCAATGGATCAAATCGGTTTAAAAATGGCGGAGGAGTTCAACCGACAAACTTCGTGTTTGCGTATTAATTATATAGATATAAAATTTGTATACAGTAGACTCCCTCTTATCCGGACACCTTTTAACTGGACATGGGTTTAACCGGACTACACTCGGCGGAAATGACATCTCTTTAACCGGACAATTTTTATCAGCACACTGGTTTAACCGGACTAGATCGGCAGGAAGTAGGCGGTACTGAAACGACTGTTCTCGTGGGAAAGATTTGAGCCCAGTGATCACGTGTCTAAATACAATGCTCTCCTAAATTTAAGTCGAATATAACAGTAAACGGTCCTTTTTAACAAGTTTTTGGGGACGTCGGTTTAACCGAAAAAACCGTTAATCCAGACTGGCCTCAGTCCCGAGGAATCCGGATAAGAGAGAGTCTACTGTATTTATATTTTTTACTTTAACCTTTCTTTAACCCTGCAGTAGAATAAAATGTTACCTAATTTTACTAATCAGGTGTTTTTTTATTTACAGATGTACAATAGTCTTGAACAGAAAATCCTTGAGAAATTTCGCAACTGAATTGAAAATTGTTTAAAATAGTCATGGTCAAAGGTTTGTATTGAATTTTTTTGGACTTAAATGTTCTTAGGAAAATAAGACTACATTTCAAGAAATTATAAAATGTAAATAAAAACATGTAAATCGTTATGTCTCTTCAACAAACAATAAACTATTTCATTTATAATTTTAAACGTTTTATTGTTCTTGTTATATGACTTGTATTTAATTGTATTAATAAAGTTTTATCAAAATGTTATGTTTATTTTTATACCCATTGACAGTTCACTAAGAATACATTTTCTAGAAAATCATACGTTCTTCAAGTTTTACTTTATTAAACTGACTTCTGCCAGAAATAATTTTTTGAAATGAAATTTGAGTGTACAATAGGTAATAAACATAAGTTTTGAGGTTTGGAAATTTAACTACACATTTCAAAGGTTTTTTGCAAACACTCTTAATAAAAAGTTTTTGGGTTTTAAATACAAAAAATAGATTGGCCAAGAAGGTAGTGGAAATATTTAAAGTACCTATTTATTGAGTGGTGACAATCTTCTTTACAGGTGACATAGTAATGGTACCTGTAGACTCAGAACAACATGTCCGTTGTCTTAGAGAGTACAGGAAAGTTCTACAATCAACAATGGGGCCCTCAGGCTCATGTAAGGCAATAGTGACCAGTGGGGGCTACACTGATATTGCTTGCACATGTAAAACCCTAACCTCTCGTCTGGAACTGTCCAGTCCCATCTGTAAATACATTAACAACATAGCAGCTGGACACATTGACCACGGGCTTTACTGCGCAGTCCTGCTGTGTCACCTGCTAGAGCATCAGTTACTGAGTGAGGATTCCACCAAGAGAAAAACTGAACAGGAGGCGATGGAGGTTATATTTCAACAAATAAAGAAACTTCTTATTTCAGAGTATGTGTGTAAATCGTTGTGTTTTGATTCGGTTACAAATTTAATACCTGTAGTGCGAACAGTCATTGTGTCCAAATGCGGTACTTTTCTCTCAGGAATGGAAGTTGACGGACTTTGTATGGAAGTAATCAGAGTATTTATAAACTGTGTTGATGAAGAAACCAATGTAGTTAACAAAATACATCTAAAAGTTGAAAGTGGATTGAACGCATTTATGAGCTGTAAAGGACTCTTGTATACAGTCACTGAAAGTCATCACATTGAAATCGCAAGTAAGGTAATGTCAAATATCAAAGTTCTTGTGTTTGTTGTAAAACTGGAATATAATGCAGACTCTTTCACCACTTGTACCAGTTTGCTGGATGTTTTAGATTTGTCTGTTCAGTTAGGTGTGAAGGTCATAGCTTGTCAGCAAGTTATATCACCTGAAGTTAAGGTATTCCTCAGAAGAAAAAATATAATATTTTTGGAGAGAATGGGGTCTGATTTCACAAAACAGTTGATTCGCTTGACCCATGCATTCCCTTTATCTCAACTCGACATTGTAGGGTCTGAATTTGAAAATTTTTTTGGACACCTGACATCAGTTGAACTGCTGAGATTTTTTGAACAAGATTATCTAGTTCTTCACAACAAGAATATATGTATTGCAACTCTTCTTATCCAAACCTCTTCTTTGCTGGGGCAGGAAAATATCAAGGTTTGTTTTGTATTGCATTTTGTTGATTAAGTTTAATAGCTAAAGTTGGTAATTTGTGTATCTTGCAGATGCAACTTTGGAAAACTCATTTTGATGCAAATACTCGAACAACAGATATGGTTTCTGTGCAACTCAAATCAAAATATACAATATTTTTTACTTTTAACTTTTTTTTGTTGTTTCTATTGCTTTTGAGTCTTACTTAAAAAAAAGTGTTCATTACTCTTGCTTTAGAGTTGGGGCTTCAGTAGAACCTCAATAATCCGACCTAAATAGACAGCCCCTAGGCAGGATATAGGAAACAGCCGGACCTTCGAGAGACCTTCATGGTAATGAGTGAAAAGTTAGGTACTATTAGTAGTTTTGAAACAACAAATGTTAATCCAAAAAGTTAACAGCAACTCATTAAAGCTGTGCTATGTACTGGGCTTGAATAGCAATGACTGATAATGATGTAACAAAAATAATAACTAAACAATAAATAGTTACGGAAATACCAACATGCATCAATTTAAGTCAAAGAGCATTTATCTTTCTTATGAGCAGATGGTGAATGCATGTATGTGAGTTCTGTGTTTTGTCCCCAATTTGTAGCCTATTGCGAGTAAGAAGAGCATTTTGGCGTTACCCTACTATATAATAATCGGATATCAGGTATATAGGAATTAATCTATTGTATGTAATCTTATATTGAAGTATAAAATTGGACTACTTCTTAGTAAATCTAATATAAAATTACACCCATACTATATCTCCTGGCTATAATTTTGTTAGTAGGATAGGATTGAGGTGGATTACTGAATGAGGGTTTGAAATATCGAGGGCCGAATTATTTAGGTTTTACTGTATTACTTTTACTTTACTTATCAAATTAAAATTACAATATGTTTGATCCCTGGTACCATAGACAAATATAATAAATATAGACCGACAGCAGAGCTGCGGTTAGCATATGTTCCGGCGTCCACCGCTAGGAGTGCCGGGTAGTTTTGGCGCACACCGCTGCAGTGTCTAATGGTAGCATACAGCTCCTCGCCTGCAGCGGTATTCGCCTTAACTACATGGCACTCCTAGCGGTTTTCCTGCCCTGGCAATTATTTAAGGAATTTAAAAAAATGTCTAATATTTTCTCTTTAAAAAAAGAGAAGGCCAACCACTTGCGGTTTAGTTGTCCCGGTTGTACTCACAAATAAAAAAAATGTAAACGTGGTCATGATAAAATAAAGTCCATTATTGTAGCCCCGAAACTGCTATTAAGACTAAAATACACTGAACACATTTAACTGAAGTTGGTAAGTGATTGAGGTTTAAAACGTAAAAGCAAATATGAAAAACTACACAAATTTATGAAATTTCTTTCTTTTAAATTTGTCGACACAATATTTGTGCACTACATACCCTCCACCCAGGTTACTCTACAAACCCAGTAAAACTGAATCCAAGTTATTAAAATCAATACTATTTATTGAGCTAATACAATATAATTTGTGTTGACTAATGCACCACCTAATGTTTACCTGGTATTAGGCACTGCACTCCTCGCCTTTTTCAGCTCAGTAATAAAGAGTAGGTAATTTGACTACCTTGTATACTGTTTTAGATTTTGATATCACAAGCATTTGCCGCCTTGAGATCTGTAGCTGCTCAACCCCTTCTAATCCTTGGTGGTGGATGTTTGGAAATTTGGCTTATTGGACAGATTCATCATATAAAGGTATTTTTATTTGTTCCCAACAGTAGAAATGGTCCAATGTAAGAAATGCCCCCGCTGCAGAAAAAAAACAGACTAAACAAATTTTCTGTTGCCTGATTGGATTTTCACTAAAATATTTCCTTAAACATTTATGTAGATTTTATATCCTGACTAAATGATATTAGGTTAACCAGTAGTTAGGTTTGCTGCTTAGGGGAACTAAATAAGTTTTTTTTGTAAAATGTTAAAAGCTAGCATGAAATCAATTAAATGAATTCTTCCACATCCAAACACTAATTATAATAACAAATGTTTGAATTTTCTCGTTAAAATTTAATTGTACAACAATGCTTCAATATCGAAAATTGTTTGTTATTTAAGCTCCACGCAATGTTAGTAATGAAAATTGGGCATATCCATGATTTAAGGTTGAAAAACCATTTTTCAACAATTTCCAAACCTTGCCTCTCGTTCCTATTACCCTATCTTGCTGGTTTGCTAACTTATAAAGTTTATCCATCTCTATACACTTTCATGCCAAATTTCACCAAAGTCGAACCAAAATTACTCGAGTTATCAAGTTTGTGGATACACCTTCACATTTATTTATATAAATTTAAACAAATAGTGGTTTTGGCCTAAAATGAAATTAAAAAGTAAATTGGTTCCGGGTCTAAGGTCTTTCTGTGCCACCTACAAAACAATTTTTGAATTTTCACAACAACAACAATCAACACCAACAGCAACAACAACAACAATCAAATCTTCTGTCTTTCTGTGCATAGATAAAACATATTAGTAGGAATGCCATCCTTCCAGCTGAAGCCAATTTTATTGTTCTGTACATCGCACTGTAGAGGTTGTGTTTTGTTTACAATTTTTTTCTTGTTATTTCAGTAATTTATAACCTCGTTAAACCAAGTAAAACAATCTAATCATAAAAAATTACTGGTCTCCTAGTTATAACCAAACAGCAGAGCACAAACCATAAAAATAACCCTAAAATAACAGAAAAAATTTTTGTCTACACTAGCGATCAGTGTCAATGCTGGACTCGAAAAACAAGCTTCAAAATTTACAATGGTTTAGAAGTCTACTTATGTTGCTTAGTCTATGGTACAGTCCAACCTCGGTATAACGAATCTGAAGGGACCGAACTGAATATTTGTTATATCAAGGATTTTGTTAAAACGAGGTTCGTTAAATATTGAGGTTAGGTTTGCAGGAATTTCGCTAAGTCAAGGTTCAGAACCAGGATCAGTCAATATAGGTCAGGATTGGACCTTATTAAAACAAAATTAAAGTAGCATAGGCTACAATACTTTACAGTGTACAGTGTTTACATTGTAAAGTAGAACGTCGATTGTCCGGGGTAATAAAGGGAAGGGATCTTTAATATTGCGCAATAATGACATTTCTAGCCATTGACCTTGGTACAGGTTACAAACTGTAAGTTTAAAATCGCAGCTTACTCTAACCCACCTAAAACCTAGCCAAATTGTATAGCATTATTGTATAGCATAGCAATAAACCACAAAGAACAAAACAAAACAGTAAGAGTTTTGTAAGCTACTGCTCGTGATATGCCGGTAGGCTACTTACAATACAGTACTGATTTAAATCACAACAGAGGAATGTCAGTACTGTAATAATCATCAACTGTAGCATTGATGTTGCCTTAGTTTAAAAAAATCGTATTTAAAATAATAAAAATATTAGATAAGTCGTTATAAAAGTCTATAATTATAGCCAACTTAAATATAATAAAAACACTTGTAAAAGGAATGTTAAGATAACAATGTTGCTATTCTTTCTGTTAGCTTTGTTCTTCTATTCTTTTTTCTTTCTTAGGTTTCTCTTCATCCAAAAATTTTACAATTCACCATATTTACTTATCACCCAATCACATTTTACTAAAAATGACGCCGTCATCAGTCCTCAGTGAATGAAATCAGTTCTCAGCTGTAACAAAGCGCGCAGCGACGATAGCAGACAGGGATGTGTAAAACGGAGCAGACGAATGTTAGCGCAATCATTGACGTCACCTTTCCATTTCATTTGATAAAGAAACTGATTTTTCAAAAACAATAATGGTAAGGGGGGGGGGGGGTTCGTTGTATCGAGGGAGAAACGTAGACAATTTGTTAAGTAGAGGTTAAATTCGCTATGTAGAGGTTCTGACAATGATATATTCGTTATATTGAGGTGTCTTATTTTAGCCGGGACCGTGAAAAATTCGTTAAATCAAGGTCGTTGTTACAGTTTGTTTGTTATGTAGAGGTAAAATATACATTGTGTCTTATGGAGAGTTCTAGGGGATTAAAAAAAATTCGTTATATCAAGGAATTCGTTAAATCGAGGTTCGTTATATCAAGGTTAGACTGTAATAGCCTCTTCCAACGATCACATAAGACCAATAGAATAATAGATGGAGCATGTTGGCCGCGACGTGAAGCCAGTATTTTTAACTAATCTACAACAAGATGGCGGCTGCCGGCTGTGATGAGCCCTAATAGCGGGCGCAACTAATTAAATGTTAGTTTATATCAATGATATCCGTGACAATATGCCTTTTTGTATTATAAACATTTCTATTACTAACACAATGACCTTCAAAATACGCTTTTAATTTGTTTTCTAGCGTTTACCGTTTCTTAAAATAAGTTAGTTAACATAATTAACAACAAAAACTTTTTGGGTGAAAGAAAAATTCTGGAAAGCTACAAATTAATTTATAATATATGTATCTATATCGTATTAAAGTTTGATAAAGTTCTGGCGTTTGGTTTACAATGTACGAATTTTCAAAGTCACAAGATAGTTTCTGAAACTCTTTATACAACTCTCCTTTATATTCTGACTGGCATATTAATTTTTGTAAAAGAGCTAAAAAATATAAATTTTTAGATGAATACAAAAAATAAAACGAAGAACATTTATATGCCCTCCGTGTTTTTCCAATTATTTTAGTAACTTTTCTGTATAACTCCAAACTTGAGTATCTAAATTGTATTACAAGTGAGGTTGTAGGCAGAATCTGTCTGCATGACGCCTCGTGGCGCGGCTGGTAGCCCTTATATTACAATTTAAATTACAACCAAACTACACCAGCTAATAATTTAAAAAAATATGATCCAAAAAATACTACTCTTTAGCTACAAAATCCACCGTTTTGTAACTTACCTGACCAAAAAATAAAAAATGTAGCAGCCGACAAACTTTTTCATGTCATATTTCATATTTTAAAACTAATTTAAAAGTACCGACTTTATTTGAAGATTTAAAATAGAAAATACTAACTTTTAAGCTTTTAATTAAAACCAATAGTGTCATAGACTTATTGACTTCATTCATACGAAGTTTCAACCATATAACTTAAGTCTAAGTAGGCTAAATATCGAGTTATTTTGAAGCGGAACATTGAGTTTTGGTGCCGTTTTCATCGACATCTAGCGCTTATAACCTACAACAAGATGGCGGACCTGGCTTCACCTGCTTTAATGTTAGTTAAATAGGCTTGCTCCATCTATTGGTCTTATGTGATCGTTGGTCTCTTCGCTATAGTCAAATAAGCTCGAGTGTATTCAATCAAAACAATTTATGTGTTGTTTTCAGTTTTGCATTCAATAAATATTGAGATATTTCTCCTATTCTCAGGCCCAGTTCAATGCTTGATATAGGATATTTCAGGTTTCATCCAATAAATTAAAAAACCTTGACAAAAAACTTAATATATTATTATTACAGTAGACTCCCTCTAGTTCGGCCACCTCGGGACCGGACCACTGGCCGAACTACAAAACGGCCGGACTAACCGGATGTAGTGCATTTTACATAATAAAAATACAAATAATAGTATTGTGCAATCAAGATATGGTAAGTCAACAACTTTGGTTCAGTAATAAAAACTGAAACGTTTAAAATCACGCTTACTCAATCAAAACAAAAATTACACAACACTGTACATACAGCTATAAATCACGTAAAGAACAGAACAATAGAAAGTCTAGTACTGCAAGCTACCGTAGTCAGCATAGGCTACTACTACATTTTGTTTCAGAATATAAGAATGTCGATAAAAACATTAGACAATTCATAAAACAGCATAAAATCATAGTACTTAGTCTTAAAGATAATAAGGACAGTCGTAAAATAGGATAAAGATAACAATGGATGACGTAAAACACCGCTTATTCTTTCTTCTTTGTTCTTCTATTCTTTCTTTGCCTCTTTGGTTTCTCTTCATCCACACATTCAACAAGTTGCCATGGTTACTAATTACCCAATCACAAACTGTTGTGAGATAGCAAGCAAGCGCACAGCAGACATCAGTTGTGTGAGCAGATGATTGTCTGTGCAAGCGAATAGCTTGACCTTTGAAGCTAACGATGGCTATTTCTTTGTTTTTTTTTATTTATTGTTGTGAAATAAACCGTGGTGTTTCAAAAACAATAATGGGGGAACCTACTGCATAAAAAAAGTGGTCCGAAATATTTAAATATACACTGCATTTCAACATATTAGACCGAAGAAAAATTATTTATAAAATGTTCTTGGTATTTTTGAGGTTATATGTAACATAGTTTTACATAGGTAATATGCGACAATTCACCCATAGAAGCACCCGTAAACTAAACTGACATGAATTGTTTACTTCTATGGCCGGAAACTAAACATTCAATAAACATTCAAGTTGAATCCTGTCGAAGGTCATTCGCCGAAGATATGACTTGTCCCCCTGAGACCGGGCCGGACCATCCGGCGGCCGATCCAACCGAAGCCGAACTAGAGGGAGTCTACTGTAGTACAGACAAAATAGTACTTAGATTAGATTTTTTCAACTTTTAGGAGGTTTGGAAAGATGTAGAGATGAGTCGAGTTGCAACATGGTTGCAAAGGTCGCTGCAGTCAACCTGTTATGCAGTAGAGATGGACACTTTGTACCACCACGGCTGGAGAGAGACAGAGGTGTGTTGTGGCTGCAGACTGTTGAACAGGCAGACAGTGGAGCAGCAGGGAGGAGCCTGGTTGTCTCTGCAAGAGGTTTGTCTCATGAATAAGCTTTAAATCCATTCTGAATTTTTACCCATCACACAGGATGAGTGGACAGCATGTGTATGAAATACAATTTTAATTTCTAACAATTCTATATAAATAAAATTATAGTTTTGTCTTAACATTGCGTAGAATCATGTAGTTTTTGGTTATTTTATATATTAATATTATAGCCTAAGAAATCTGAAAAGAGTCTTATCTCAAATTTCTATTTGTCTGTCTGTTTGTGTGTCATTGTGTCTGTAACACCAAAATTTCCAATTTACACGGCCTTCTCCGAGACAACTAAAGTACCTATCTATCACAATTCAAATAATTTTAGTGTATTTACTGGATTGGTGAGAGTGTCTTTAGACGTTAAAATATGGCCTCACTACTTTGTTAATAATATAACGGACGTTCAAAACTGAAATTTTGTAAGATTTTTGTCAAGTTTTTCCCAATGTGTACCATATAAATAATTTATAAAATATTAATAATCTGTTTGGAAAGTACGTCATCTATTGTAGTAGCCTATTTAGTTTCATTCATTAATTTTTTTAGCATCAAGTTTCTTAAAATGTTAACTTTTATCCACATACCTTTGTTATTAATCACTCCATTCAACCAAAAATTCCATTCAACCATTTCCAAAATCCTAAAATAACTTCTCCGGCTGCAACTAGGGACAGTATACCACAAATAACATTAAACAATAGTTATTCAGTGTTATCCAACAGTTTGCAGCAAAATGAATCAGTGAAAACTTCTCACCAACCTGGACAAACAAAACATTTTTCAGCGACACCTACTACTAATCCTACAAAAAGTATTACCCCACCAAAATCTACTCTGAAGAATAAAGTTAAAGACAAGTCAAATTATATAAGTAATAACAGGAAAACACTAGAGTCACAATTAGCGAATACTAAACTGAAAACAAAGAAAAAAGTTTATGTTTTTGCAGATAGCCATGGTAAGGATCTAGGCCATCTTTTGGGTCCTTTGCTGTCCCCAGCCACAGAAACACTTCTGTGTGCAAATTCTGGTGCAACGGTGGATTATGTCCATAAAAACATCAAGGATATGACACAGAATTTTACCAAGGACGACTGTGTAGTTGTCAGTGGCGGTTCCAAGGGGGGGGCTACAGGGGCTAAAGCCCCCCCCCCCTTGGACCCTAAAAAATAAAATAAATTTAAACGTGCATTTCGTCCTTAAAACACGCAATGTTATACATACATCAATGTAGTTTTTATTAAACTTAATAAGCGATGGCAGGAGCATTATTAAGTTCCTCATAGATAAACTTTGTGGACAATATAGCACAACAAATAAAACAAAATTACGCTATGGAAAGTTGTACGCATGATCATATTTTTACAGCCTGATTGCTGTTGACATGCTAGGGGCTAGGGCAATGAATGGTTTGTATTCATTGGCTAGGGCAAAGGCGGGAGCATCTAGCGCGCGAGCGAGGACTGGGAAACAGCTGATTTCCTGATGTCCCATTGTTAGTTGTCGAATTGTCTGCTAGCCATAACTTTACACAGGCATCAATCAGCAATCAGCGGTAGCACCAGTAGCCAGTAGCCTATTACCATTGACTAAGCTAGTGTTAAAGTTCATATAGTCAATGCTATTACTGAATTTGATACTATACCGTGACAGATCTATGAAATGGAGAAAAACGTAAGGTTAAAAAACGTGTCTACCTACTTGCTTTTCGTGACATAACAGGTGCAATGAAAGGTTTTAGAACAATTGGGCACAGTTCTAGACTTAGAAATGGCTTTATAAGGTCACCAAACGGCTTTTAGGAGATATGACTTTATTAATCTACAGTCTGCCTATGTTTTGAAATTCATGAAATTCGTCATAGTTTGATTTTTTAATGTCTACTGACAAAGACAAATAACGGGTGAAAAATGGAAGGTTTTTGTACAGATATAGACATTAATAACGGCTTTAGAAAGTTAGCAAACAACTCTTAGGGGGATATGCTCATGACAAACAACAGGTGCAATGGGAGTTTATGGACAATTAAGCACGCTTCAAGGTGTTAAAAATGGCTTTAGAAAGTCACCAGACGGCTTTGAAAAATCCAAATTTTCCCTCCCTCCCGGACCCCCCTGCTTTATTGTGGGGTGCTCCACACCCTCCAAACCTCCCGGTAGCCCCCCCCCCCCTTGACAAGGTCCTAGAACCGCCACTGGTAGTTGTCATTGCGGGCGCTAATAATATTTGTGACATTACTCAGTTTGATAGAAGACCTGCCTATAACTTATTTAGACAAATGAATGAATTTGCCACAGTTCACAACCACAATAACATCCTGTATGTTAACCAATTCCATAGGTATGAACTAGCTTGGGAAAATCCAATCAACAAAGAAATCTACAAACTAAACTACTACTTAAGACAGTCAAAAAATTTAAATGTAATTGACTTTAGTGATATTAAAAAGGAACCTTTTTACAAATCATGGACAACACTTAAATAAGCTTGGAAAAAGAGTCCTCCCTAGAAGAATAGCTAACTCGACCACAAACCCCAAAACATCAAAAGATGCTTTCAAATCCGTCAAAATAAAGGTAGCAGATATGGGCTCTGTTATAGAACAATATAACAACAGCAAAAATGTAGCCTTCGCCCACTGCATCTCAGGAGATTTCGAAGACAATAAAAACATGAGTGAGGGAGTTGCCGTAGTCTTCAAGGAAATTTTGGGAAACCCTCAAGAGCGGACTACTGTAGCAGGAACCTAACATGCCAGAATCAGGGAATGGACATCCTGTCTATGGACTTGTGACAAAACCTATATATTTCCTTAATTCTACCAACTTTGCCCACTATAAGACAACGTATAGTTCAGCCTTCCAACAATTAGCTGTGGATTTTAAAACTCGCAACTTGAAGACACTCATTTGCTTGCCCCTGGGCTGCATTCGAGATTGCATTCTACCTGCACATTTTGCGTCAAATTTGTTAAATTTTGTCCGAAACACTGGAGCCTCAGTAGTTGTGACTTCCAATGACACCTCTAGGCAAAGATTGAGGAATGGAGTTCCACATGCTGCGTTTGTTGAAAGACCACAGCATCTCCTCTGTCCAGATGACTGCACTTTGTCTCATAAACCCCCAACAACAACAACAACAACTTCAACTAATCCAGAGCCTACACCTACAGACCTGGCTTCCTCGACCGTAGACAACTCCAGCCCAACCACTCGGACACAGCCGCGCCACCCTGTCACAGAGCTTCAGTCTCCTGCAGCTACAGTGATAAGTGATGGGGGGAATAATGTCTTTAAGGGGTGTGAAAGTGAAGTGCAAGGTTTGGCTACTGTCAATGAATCTATGATGAGTGATGGTAGTCCGTTTAGGGGATGGTCTCCTTTCTCCTACAACCTCACTGATGAAACCTCCTCCACTCCATCTTAAAACTAACAAAAACTGACAATAAACCGGGTTTTGCAAAGAGCAATACATTTACTGGCTTAGACAAAAAACAGTATCCAGAAACAACAAAATCCTACTACCGCATCTATATTCTGTCAAAACAACAAAAGTAAAACAAACTGCAATCAAAATAGTAATGACGAAATTAGTATCCTACAATATTAAAATGGTATAAAATTACCTGTTTCCGTCTGTGATCCTATATTTGTTGTATAGAGCAACCGGTTTCAAGGTTATAACCTCATCTTCAGGCTCTTTTTGTCACTCTTGCGAGATCGTCGAGTTTTATAAACACACAAAAACACTAACATTGAAATAAATAAACACGAGACATTGACAGACGAAGACGATTAACATAAATTCGGGAACTAGTTCCACACACGACGCGGCACGGGCAAACGTTTTGTCATGACTCAAAGTTTTGCAGTCATTGGTGAATTTCCCAACTAGAATTTGCAAAACAAAGAAGAGTGCAATGGATAATGTTTTTACTAATATAGCCAAGAGCAAAATAAAAGTTTCAGGAATAATTACTGAATTGTCTGACCATGATGTGTGTAAGCTGTGTGTAATTACTGATAACAGTATAGTAATTTCAAAAACCCCAAAAACAATTGTAACATACCGTAGGAAATTTACTGATGATAGCATTGCTCAGTTTTGTAAACTCTTAGAAAGTGAAAACTTGATCAATGTGTTTAATGCACCTGTTAATAATAAGTTTGACATTTTCTTTGATATAATTAACTATGATTTTGATGTTTGTTTTCCTAAGCTTAAAAGTAGATTAACCAGAGGAAATAGTAATTGGATTACAGATGATATTATAAATAAAAGAATAGATGTTTTAGATTTGAGTAATACTACTAGGAATGTTAAAGATAAATCATTTCAAAATATTCTGATCAAAAAAATAAAGAACTAAAAAAAGAAGTAATTGAAACTAAATGTAATTATTATCATAACTTATTGGAAAAATCACGAAATGTCAGTAAAACTACATGTGATATTGTAAATAGGGAAGTTAGAGCAAATCATAAATCAAGCCATGTTGAAAGTTTAAGCTTACCATATATTAAAGCCAATAAATGCACGGACGTTAAAGATGTCTGTCATCTCTTCAATGATTACTATACAATGATGGTTGAAAATTATATATTGCCCAAACTAATATCTTCTACTGGTTCAAAAAATATTAATTTCACCCTCCAAAAAATTGATATCAAAATTTAGTCTTTCACCAATTACTTATGAAGAGCTGGACAAAATTATAACTTCTTTTGATGATAAATTTTCTACTGGCTGGGATGAAATACCAATGCCAATAATTAAAAAGGCTCGTCTATACAGGTCTTATAGCAAGGTTTAATTTTTGATTTTTTTAGTTTTTCGGGGAAAATTCCAGAGATGAAAGAGGAGTTTATATCAAATGTGTAATGGTAATAATATATACAGGGTTAGTCTTCTAATCTGTCCTAAACAGATTACAGACGAACAGCTCGACATACAGAGATGAAACAAAACTTTTCCCCTCTAATTCATACCCA